ATAGATTTAATAATGAAGTCATTTATTTTTTGTTTAATAATGTAATTTTTTTATAAAGATAATAATTAATATTTTGTTAGAATTCAATGATTATCGTAGATATATTTTAGATTTTTTATATTTAAAATAAGATACTTATTCAGTATTTGATTATGTTTATCATATATGTTCGTCTAAGATTGCCAGCTCACATTTTGGAACAAGCTCTCCAATTCATCCATGAATTTGTGGAAATCTACCTTGTCGGAAATTGAACTTTGGTTGAATTTTCTAACCTTTTTTCACCAAGAATCCTTAAATCCACATGGAAATTGAAGAACTTGGTTTGTTAACTGTCCACACTCTTTTTTTTTCACCATCAATCCTTAAATACTTTTGCCGGTTCAACTAGTATGAGTGTTGATCATTTTTTGTAACTAGTTAACCATTGAAATGAAGTTGTTTCCGTAAGTGTGAATCCAATGAAAATTACATTATCAATATGACCAACATACTCAATCTCTATGGCGAGTCTAAGCAATTGGCATGCATTTGATGCGACCAGTTTCACGTTTTTAGTCTAACATGATGCAACCACATTTCATCACTGAACACACATGGTGCAACCATATTTCAACAATGGAAATCAAATATGAAACCACAATCATCAAGTCACACAAATGATGCAACACTATTTCATCTGAAACCAGATTATTAAACCAACATTTTATCAAACACCTAGCTTACTGAATAAAAGTGATGTTTTTTTTAACCTTGACTGTCTTCTTTGACAGTTGCTGTAATTTCACAAGAAGCTCCTTTATGAGAAGTTCCTCCCTCAAACCGTCTACTTGAGGGTTTGATGTCAAGAGCCTCATCATCTATCAACACTGGATCTGATGATGCATAAGGGTAACCTTCCATCAAACACTAATAACAAGATTGACAACATTTAATCCCTAGCCATGGATTAAAGTTAAAATGGTGGGACTTGGTCATATAGGTTGTAGGAATGTAAAGAGTTAGGTTGCAGCTCTATCAATCTGGAGGATCAAGGGGTTCTCGTTAGATTTTTGCTTGCCCCTTCATAATATATTTAAAGAAAGTCCCTTTTTCGAGATTCAATTTTAAGGTAAATTGTATTAAAAAGTAAGGTATTAAATTTCATTTATATTTTAGTACCTAAGATATAAAATTTTAAATATTTAAGTACTCGTGTAACCGATTGAAGCAGTAACCGATTACCATGCTGGTGCTGTGAGTCATGTGGTATCCAACTCAGTATAAATTTTTATTGAATTTTAAATTCAAAAAGTAAGTCAAATCATTCGTCACATTGAAAACTGATTAATGTTTCAACATGATACTTAAATGTTTAAAACTTAACACCAAAATGAAAGTTTTGAAAGTACGTTACCCAAAATATGAATTAAGTTAAAGTACGTTACTTTTTTAGGCAATTTGCTCTTCAATTTACTTGCCAACATGTTAATTTTTTTAGTCTAATCTTTTATATATATTCAATCTTATTTTTAAGAAGTTAAGTTCTTGATAAAATATTCAAAGTTAATTGGTATCAAACTAAACCAACTACATTCATATTAATAGGATCAATTAAATTTATTCCAACTTAATTGGTACTAATTACGATTGATTGATGTTGTTTGTGTTAAGCAAGGCATCGACGTTAGTCTCCCTCCCCAAGTCGGTCGTCGCATTCCATATTATATATATATATAGATGCTTACGTTGAATAAAAAGCCTAATACTATCATATCTTGATCTTTGTTTTTAGATTTACGTAAGTGATCATAAAAACTATAGCTTTAAAAGGCTTTTCATTACTTGGTAGCCCATAACGAAATTCGACGGCTACAAACAAGAAGGCTATGATTTATATAAAGTATGCGAATTTTATCGTTCATTATATAGTTAGTCGTGTACATTTTATATAAAATAAGCTACATTTACCAACTCTACCATTAAAGATTTATATAAACATTCAATTTCAAAAACTATATGGTAATACCCAACAATACGTTACAGTGACACCATTCAGAAATATAATTTTTTCCCCTTACGACAGACAATACCGTGAAACGATGACCGTCGAAGAAAACAACATTTACAAGTATACATCTTCTTTCTCACATTACTACTTGCGTTACCACCTATTCAAATCTTTAGATTTAAATTTTTATATGACACATTTCATATTAGAGTATATGAAATATAATCCAAGGACACAAAACGACAAAATATTAGATTTAAGTCTTCAAATTCATTTCTTTAGAAAAATCGAAGTTTTCAGCAAAACAATACATAAACAACCTTACCAAAAAAGTCAATTAAACTAAGATTGCATCGTTGTCCAAAATAAGCCTTCATAAAATTTAACCTTGAAGCAAAAGCTTGTGACCAATCTTGTATGAAGCATAAGCATCAATACATGCATACTCTACTTGGTTTTCATTAAGCACCCTTTCCTCCCAATTGCTCATGCAAACATGCTTTGGCTTCTTCATGTAAAGCCCCACCACCTCCATGGCAAGATCCTTCAAACCCGGCCGACGAAACCTTCCCGGCCACATGGTCTTTGCCACCTCCCGAATATCTGTACTTTTAGAACAATCCAACCCATATTCGTTCTTAAGCTTCAAAATGTCCTCATCAACTTCAATTCCCACAAAAGTAAACTTGGGGTTCAGGAGAAACATTTTCAGGGATTCTGGGATTTCGTCCATGTAGAAGAGTTGAAGGATTAGGCACTTGGTGTCGATGCAGAGTTGAAGGGTGGCGGATTTATTGCTCATGGATCGGATTTGGTGGGGCCGCCATTCGACGTCCAAGCCCACCACCACCGTTGGGTGGTCGGCGTGGAGCGAAAGGAGTTCGTCCACCCATTCATCAGYGATGGCAGCTTTGGTGGTGACGGTTGTCTCGATTGTTTTGGCGTCGTAGTTAACATGATACTTGGAGGATGTTGAGTCGTAGGTTATGGTTGGGTTGGTGTTGCGGAAAGCCATGGGGAAGGAAGGCAATTTAGCAGATTSAATTGAGTGTAGAAGGCAAGTCATATTATAGTCATCTTGTAACTCACATGCATGACCTTTGGACTTCATGATGAATCCTTTTGGTTAATAAAGTTTTAGGCTCTTTGAATTCCAATGGAATATGAATGAATTGGATCCTTGACTGTTTGGTTTGTGTATAAAATGAAATTGAATTCTATAGATTGCATCAATTCCCTCGCAATTTAATTCCATTCCTACCAATTTAAAAATGTACTCTAAATCTTATCTTTTTATATGATACTTTTTTTCTCTCGATAATATCATGTTAATAAGTTCAACTCATTTTTTTTTACTGTAAGAAAAATATAACATATTATTAAAAAAACACCCTTTTTCTTTTAGTTTCTGAAAATGGTCACAACTACCACCATGTATGAGATTTGAAATCGTAACTTAGCATCTCCAATATATATATTTTTTAAAGGGTAAAACACACAAAATATCAATTTATTTTCATAAATTTCTTTATTATAACATTGTATTTCCAGTTTTTCTTATTATAACAATGTATTTTCAAACTATTTTTTATTAGAATATTAAACTTTGAAAAATTTACCCATTATAACATTAAGTAACCTTTTGATTTAAATTTTCACATTATATCATGTTTCCATGCCACCTCATTGTCCATGTAGGTTGTTCATATGTACTATAGTAATGTGAATTTCTTATTACAACATTGTACTTTTAAAGTTATTTTATTATAACATCTAATAGTTCTTATTAAACAATGTACTTTTAATTTTAATATTTAGATATTTTACATGTTATTTAATAAATATAAAATTCTAAATTATTCATTAATATACCAATATTAATAAAACTAGTAGAAGACAACTTATCTCGCTAATATTTTTTTAAAAGAATATGTGTTTTTTGAAAATAGAAAAAAAATTGTTCATTTTTTACCAAAAAAATATTATCTTCAAAAAAATCTATTATTTGTTAAAAAAAATTAACTTGACGTATAAATATATTAAATTAATTAGATTTTTTTGAATTATTTATTAATATAACAATATTAAAAAATTGTAGAACACAATTTATTTCGTTAACATTTTAGAGAGAACTTTAAGTGACATGTATTTTTTTTGAACAACATAAAATAAGAAGTGTTACTTTTTTTACAAACAAAATGTATCTCGAAAATAATATAGCATATTTATCTAGGAAATATTCTACCATAGATTATTTAATTTGGATGCAACTTAATAGAAAAAGTCAAAAAAAAATAAACGTTTTTTTTTAAATCATATAAATGAATGAAAATCACTAATAATAATTTGAAATATATTTTTATTTTTATTTTAATTAAGTCATCAAAATGAAGTGTCATTCACATCATCTCATTAAACACAAGCAAAAAAAAATCAGGAGGTTAACTGATTTAAAAGGTAACATGTTACCCATTGCTATAATGGGTAGATTTTTTAAATTGCGATACCTTAATAAAAAATAATTTAAAATTATGTTGTTGTAATAAAGAAAAACAAAAATAGAATGTTATAATGAATTTTTTTATGAAAGTATGTTGTTATTTCATACATTTAACATTTTTTAAGTGATGAAATTAGTATAATATTTTTGTTCCAACTGATATTACTATGAGAAATAATTTTATATTATATTTTTATTAATAAAAAAATTTGAAACTAAATATTTAGAAAAAAATAATATTTAAATAATATAGTGGATGTATAATTTCTAAAATAAAGATGTTGAATATTTACTTTTTTTAGATTTTTTATCTAAAACAAATTTTAGAGATGAATGTCTTATAAATATTCTTAGATTAGGAGGAAAGAGGAAAGTATTTGAATATGTTGACACTTCATTACATTTTCCAAACTAATAGAGAATGACATGTCATTTAAAAAAGGAAACACTTATGTTGATTTTTCTTTAAAAAATTATTATTAAAAAACGATTCTATTAGTTTTAATTACGATTTCATAGGGAGAAAATGGTTATGACTAAAATCATGAATATAATTATCTCTCTTATTTGATTTCACCATTTTAATTGTATATAATTGAATATTTGATGGTCCACACTCCACACACACATATTAGAGAGAGGAATTTCCTTTTTCAAGAAATAAATCCGGTTCTTCAAACTCAAACATATTTTAGTGGGTCCCATCGCAATATTTAACATAATATGAAGTAAACAACCTTAAGTTACCCAACACGCTTCTTTCCAATTAATCCAACCATTTAGCAACGGTTAATATGTATATAATGAGATAATCTTGATGTTTCCATATTAAATAAAATAAACAAAACCTGAATATGTACATATGTAAATGATATATATGGAACTAAAACAAATGATGAGAAGTATATCTTGAAGATTGATTTAATGAAGCCAATGTAGAGTTGTGCACTTTCATTGTAATCGATTCCAGTTGTAGCAATTAGATTTGGAAACTTGGAGATTRTTATCTCTTCTTTCTAATATTTCTTGCGCTAATTCATCCTCATCATATACATACTCTCTCTTATATCTTATATATATATACCCACAATTACAAACACCTCCCCATCAATCATCACCCACCATATCATATCAAAACTAATTTCTTCTTCACTTTCAATCTCTGTTCTTCATTCATGAAACCAAACCAGTCAAGCATGGAGGATCAGAATGAGGATCCTCTTGAACTCAGGTTGATGCTGCAAGCTGAACTTCCAAAGACTACTCTTGCTGTTAAGGCCACCAGCAGATATGTGATGACCGAAGAGGACAAATACTATCTGCAAAAGATTAATGAATTGATACAACACAAGATTCAACTCTTCTCTCGTCAGGACCAGGCCTCATCGTCTCATCATCACCAACTCACCAAGAAACCTGTGAAAAAGCGTCCACTTTCGTCCATAGATGAGAACAACAAGAAGAGGATGAAGATTCAAGATAAAAAGATGCATGTCCGTTCCCCGGCCATTAGCAACGACACAACAGACCGTTTGAAAAGGTTCATCACCGGAGAGATGAAAGCTTCCAACTTGAAACTGGTGATCCAGAAAATCTTGTATGCCACCGATCTTGCAAAAAACCAAAACAGGTTAAGCATGCCGATGAACCAACTGGAGACACTTGACTTCTTGACAAGCGATGAGAAACAATTGCTGGATAAATATGGTGAGTTTAAGGTACCACTGCTGGGGCCGACGCTGCAAATGCACACGAACCCCATGACGTTGAGGATGTGGCACTTGAAAACCACCAGCAATTACGTTCTGAAGACCAACTGGAATCAGTTCGTGGAGAAGAACAAGGAGTATCTGACAGTAAACACCAAGGTACAGGTGTGGTCGTTTCGTAGAGAGGAGCAGTTGTGCTTTGCCATTGCATGCGTGTAATTAATACCCTAAAACTATTCACCTTTTTACACTGGTTGGTTCATGCCGATTAGGATTAACGACTAGTTTAGGGTATATATATGTATTAGAGGATTCTCTTAAAGATTCTGTTTGTTTACTCTCTCTCTCTCTCTCTCTCTATATATATATATATATATATATATATGGTTTCAAGTGGCTTATGATAAATAGAAGTCAATAAGTTTTTTTGATCTAAATGTTGCGTAAATGAATATATTACACATACGATGGAGTCGAACATCTACAGTTTCTTGCTTGCAGAAGATGAAAAACTTCGATGGTCAAAACTCAAAATTTGAAAGAACAATTAGACATCACTTTCCATAAAGTATAATTTCTGAGGACTTCCCTTTGATTGATGATCAAGAAACCATGCATGCTTATATATATATAGGGTGTTTTTATCATATACGCATCTAAATTTCGTAAGAGAACATCAGAGAGGAATCAAGATGGGTGGTAATAAGAACTATGAAGATCGTAAATTGGTTCTCGTCGAAAACCAAACCAATGTTTGCGTGCTTTTCTTTTTATCAAAACAAGGTAAAGGTGCCAAAGACTCGCCAACTACAGCCACGCAGGCTGATTTAGCTTGTTATTTTGTCACGTCAAGTGAAACGGCAAGAAGAACTGGCACCGAAAGAAGGTAAAAGGTGCCAAAGACTCGCCAACTACAGCCACGCAGGCTGATTTAGCTTGTTATTTTGTCCCGTCAAGTGAAACGCCAAGAAGAACTGGCATCAACTAGATATCCTGCAGATGCTTCCATTCCATGAATACTAGATGGTATTCCGAAGCATGTTAAACTTGTATGGAAAAGATGGTCCATAAAAGAACTTTGTGGCATCATGTGTTGTTTTAGATAGTAGTAACAAAATCTAAAATTATCAAATACGTTACTCTTATTTATTGTATATAACATCCCAAACATAGAATTTTTCAACCTGTCCATATCCCACAATCATTCAAATATGAGTTAATGAGTCTCTGGGATCCCTTGAATTTGATCCCATTTGCTTTTCTTCCCTTCAATTATGTCCCAATGACCTCCATCAAATATCATTTCAAGTCTTCTTCAACAAATTATTCATCCAAATGGATCTGGTCTATAACCACTATCAATAACTTCAATTCTTGATTTCCCTTCACTTCTGCTTTGTTCAAACTACTTCCAATGGCACTCACCATTATGTGGTTATTCTCCTACATGAGTTCGAATCGGAAGGGGACTGATGGGTTCAATTCATTAAGCCGATCAGCTGTCCATTTTCCCAACAGCTGACATCTATAATCATGGCAGGCATCAAAAACTCTAATCAACATTGCTGCAGTTGGTTCAAATGGCATTTCCTTAACAAACTTCTCAAGTTCACCCATGAACCCATACCTACAATAGAGTTCAATCATGGACTCATAATGCTCCAACAGCGGTATAACACAGTATTTGCTAATCATTGCATCAAAATATTGCCTACCCAGTTCGACACGACCCTCACAGATAGCAGCAAGCAAAACTCCTTGAAATGTAATATTATCTGGTTTCAAACCTTCACGCTTCAGCATCTCAAAAATCTCAAGAGCAATGTCACCCCTTTGATTGTGACAACATCCCAATATCATCGAGTTATAAAGAATCAGATCCCTTGAAGCAGTTGCTTTGAAAACCACGAGTGCATAATTGAGACAACGGCATTTGGAGTAAGCATCAATCAAGGCTCCATTTATAACAATGTCCATATCGTAATCATGTCTGACCAAAAATCCATGAATCTGTTTACTTGATTTAAGTGCAAAGATATTTGCACAAGCAGCTAGAACAGTTGCAAGAGTGTGTTTATGTGGTGGTGTTTCTTCTAGCATCTTCCAGATAACCATCATCACTTCTTCGCTCCTTTTATGGCGTGCATGAGTTGTCAATATTGAATTCCAAGAAACAGCATCTCGCAAGTGACTCATTTGATAAAACCAAGCTCTGCAACTTCTCAAATCTCCACATTTCCCATACATGTTAAGAAGGGCATTACCAACAAACAGATTAGAGTTAAAATGACGCCTGTAGACAAAAGCATGAACCTGTTTTCCCAATTCAACGTCTAAAAGGCCAGCACATGTGCCCAAAATCAACATGACTGTAACATGATCGATGTCAATGTTGTTTTTGCAGGTTAGATGGACAAATTCTAAGGCATCTTCCCATTTATAATAGTGTGTGTAGCCAGCCAACATAGCATTCCAAGAAACCACATTCCTCTCAGGCATCTCATTGAAGAGCTTCCTTGCTTCTTCAGTTCTACCATTTGCTGCATATGCTGTCACAATCGAAGTCCAGTTGATCAAATCTTGAGCTTTTGGAAGGTTAAAGACACTTTGAGCGCTCTCTAGGTCTCCGTGTTTTGCATACATGTCAATGAGAGATCCTGAAACTACCAAACTGTCTACAAGATTTGTTTTGACTGCAAAACCATGAACCTGCATTCCCTCATTGATAGCAGAAACCTTTGAGCAAGCACGAAGGCAGTTTGCCACTGTAAAGCTCAATGGCATAACATCATTCCTCCTGATCATTTCGAAAAACAAAAGCACTGCCATCCTCTCTTCATCCATGTCATAATGCCTCCTAATAATCACATTCCAAGAAACCTCATTTGGGTTACAGAGCTCATCAAACATTCTCCTGGCATCGCTCAAAAACCCACCCTTACCGTAAACATCAACAATCGAACTCCCGATAATCACATTCCCACAAAACCCATATTTCACAATGAGTCCATGTATTCCCTTGGCAAAATAAATTTCCAAAAGTGAACCACAACACCCCATAACACTAGCAAAACTTATTTCATTCCATGAAAGGCCCTCCTTCTTCATATCCAAAAACACTCCCAACGCCTCTTCCGCGAACCCATTATGGGCATATGCAGAAATCAAAGCATTCCAGGACCCCCCATCTCTCTGAGGCATTTCATCGAATAGTTCCCTTGCATCATCCATACACCCACATTTGCCATAAGCTTCTATCGCCCTGTTCAGTAAAAAAATAGGTGGTGTCAGATTGAAGGTCAATAAATGAGACTCGACTTTACGGGTTTCAACGAGGGCACGTCTGGAAGCACATAGATTGAAGAGGGAAGCGTATAGAGAGAAATCGAAGGGGACTGGAGATTCAAACAAGATGGAAACTGCTTTGGAGACGCTGTTAAGTTTGAGGTGCGCAAAGATCTTGTTGGTTAAGGCTTTGACATTGGCTCCCATGGAAGAAACAGTATTAGCTCCGCGAGCAACCTATGTAGGCAAATCAAGCAGGTTCCTGCGTCTACTACCACCAATTGACCCACACAACATTTCTAGACTGACGATTTCTGCTACTGTTTTGCACCCGATCAGAAGCTTTGTTTCAGAGTTCGACGAGGATTGCAAGCAGGATGGATGAGGACTGTTGACTTGCAACAGAGAATCAGTGTGGATTGCAAAGCAGGAAGACGAGGAAGAGAACGGAGCGGTGATTGCTGTTTCCACCCGGGTCGGGTCAAATCAACTATGGGCTCATCCTCCATCCAACCAGATTTGGTTTGGCCGTGGCAGTCATGGGGTAAGATTTTAGTTCACCAAAATGACAACGCATGCAACAATATATTCGGTAATCGCTTACCATGGTACGAGTCGTCGCTCTCACTTACCGGGTAAGACTCTTGGTTATCGTCTCACTCTTACCGGGTAAGATTCTTAGTTCTTACCATATTCATTTGATTAGATAATATGACTTGGTAAATGCTTACCCGAGTAAGCGTTTGGTAAACGGCCCCTTAATTTATAAACCGTGAACAAATACTTAATATTTTCAGTTAGAGACTATTTGACGGTTGCTGAATGGTTTTGTGCAAAATGATTAACTAATCAGAATGATTAAGATGCTCATATATGATGCAAAATGAAATATAATTGTTTGGTAATTGTTTACAATGAAATTAGGGCCCTGAATGGTTAAGTGAAGCTCATGATACAAATCATTCATAGGGTTTCAAAACCATTAAGAGATAGACTTTTTTTGTCAAACAAGATTTACCTTTTAACGATTCAGAGGTTGCCTCTAATAAAACTATTAAGAGGTAAACAAACAACCTCTTAGTAAATTTTTAATTATTGACATTTTTTCTGCAATGAGGAGTAATTTATAGACGTTTAAAGTTCCAATTATATGTAGTCTAACAAACATCTTTTTTTGTAATAAAATATGAAAAATTAAAATTGCCGAATTTTTTTTTACATTCAAATTCAACAGATTTTATATTTTAATAATTTTAACATTAACAATATTAATAAAATATTCAATACATTTAGTACAGATATTAATTCTCTTTTTTACATATTTAATTTCAATATCTTTTATCAGTAGAAAATAATTAACTCTCTTCTATAAAGTTTTAAAATTTTCTCCACATTTAGAGATTTCCACCTTTATCACTCTTTTTTCTCTATTTTTACATATCATTTAACATAGTTGTTGGAGCAGTTCTTAAATCTTCAAAATTTTCTATTTTAATACAGTTGTTGGAGATGCTCTAAATAGTTAAATTTCAAATTATGTTTGGTCAAACTCTGATATAATAATTAGAGTGTAGATTTTTCGCACTCATGTACTTTAAATTAGAAAAAGAATGAGTTATATACGGTACTTAAATTTGAATAAGTAATAGGGAGAGATTTATGGTCGAAGATGGTGTATAGTCAACGAATTGTACAAACCACTGAAAATTCAATGGTCGTTTATAACTGTAGACTGAATAATAATAATAAAGAATAATCAAGAAATCAATTATCGTTTTTGTTTTGTCAAAAATCCTCCCAACTAAAATATTTCTCGAATTGTTCTAAGTAACTACAAATTTGGTCCCTGTGGTTTGTTATTTATAACAATTTTGGTTCTTACAATTTCAAAATTACAAGTTCGCCAATGTGGTATACAAAAACGACCGGATTTGGTCCCTGCCTCTAACGGGAAGGCTTCATCCATCCGACCGAATTTCCGCCTTATCACCCATTGAGGGCTTCATCAAACAGAAGGTGTCGAACCAGGCGCCCCTGATTTCACTAAATCATCCATCAAGGGCTTCGTCGATTAAAGTTTGATTCCACTACAATTGTTCCTCCTCTAGAAGATTAGGGGAGTTGTATAAACAACAATGCCGAGCAGCAGGGACCAAATCCGACCATTTTTACATACCACAATGATGAACTTGTAATCTCAAACCTGTAAGGACCTTAGGATATTATAATACATGCTTAAAAAACTATTTAAATCTATCTAAACTTGGATCAGGAGTGGTAGTAGTTAGTTGAAATCATCATAAAAATCAAGATGCAATTATATACTATACATTCAGATTTCTATTGAGTTTCATTTTGTAAGTTATACGGTTTATCATGATTAACACATCAAAGGTTTATAAAATTGACATAATAAAAGGTTTAAAAACAAACTGAATTAACTCTTACCGATTCAAGAGATTATTATAAAATAAAGAATCAAAAGATAGAATCTTTTAAAAAATTACACTTCAAAAACTTTAAAATTTTAGAGAAATCATTCCGATACACTTAAAATTTTAGAGAAATCAAACTCACCTATGAATCGCACTTGATACAAAGGCTGATCTGGTGCATCTCATCCTAATGTACATACAAGGATGAAAATCTCTTTCTTACGCTTCTCATCAAAACTCAATCCTTATCACATATGCTGCTAATTTCACGTGTGAAGAATTGATATATGCACATAGAATGCGGAATGGATAATTAATGAATGTAAATATCTCCAAACAGATCTTTAAATTAAAGAAAACTATGTCCATTTATGTCAAATGAAAGTTTATTTAAACTGCATCAAGTAAATATAACATTTCTATGATCAACCAATTTGTGATGGAATCGGGCCATGAGGATGGCAAACGCATGCGCCTTGGTCACAATAAGCATCCTTATTATGACACCAAACTTTTTTGCATAAATCGTCATTACCCTGCCACTGCGATAACAAGGATCTTCCTCTGAGGTTAATTGGTACATTTGACGTTGATTGTAAGGAAAATGGCCATGCTGAACACAAAAGACGAAGAAAGAACGTTATTAATTAGATGACAAAATTTTGAAGGAAAACAATAATCCATGAAGGGTGTTTTTTTGTTTAATTTGTTGTTGTAGATTAAGTTGATATTATTTATATTTATAAGCAAATTAACACTTACAAATTTAATGCATTAATTTATTAATTAATGCTTATGAAACGCAGCTTTAATTAAAAGAAAATTAGAACTATACTTTTTAATTGCAATTAATTGGTGGGTTATAAGAATAAATATGTGGTTGGAGTTATTTACCTTCTCATAAATAAATCATACAAAAGGGTATAAGTGTAAAATGTTATAGTTAGGTTAATTAAATGCTTAAATATAAGTAGTTGGGTACAGGTTAAAATAGAGATGCAAAAGGTCTAAGTTTTTGAAGTCCGTTTTCAGTAAGCAAAAAATAGAACTCGGGTAGGGTGGGGCTTTTGGATTGAGATTAGTGTTTTTTATATGTATATGGTTTGCAATTTATTACTATTTTTGTAAAAAAGCTTCCTCCATCTCCGGTGAAGCCCCCAATCCTCTAAAATCCAAATGCAAATCGAAATTCAAAATGAAAAGAAAACAATATCGAAGCTGTAATTAATCTAAAACTTCAAGAACCCGATGTTTATCACTATCAGTGTCCAGTCATTAATGCCTGATTCACCAAAATGTTTCATCCACAAAACATATACAAGTACAACTGATCACCACGATATCATGTTACTTCAAACTGGCTCATGGAGTTTCCCGAGATTTTCACAAGGAACCTATCACTAACTACTGTAGTTAAATTGAAGATCGTTTGTCTTTTATTGAGTTTAAATGAAAAAGAAAGAAATAAACCGATGCTAAACTTGAGGATGGTGGTTGAAAATCAGTTACGCTTTTAACCCTTCAAAGACTTCGGTTGTTTTAATTTACTTCCCTTACTTTTTCAATTTTTATCATATATATATATATATCTATATCATATTAATTAATTATTAGTTAAAGTACAATAAAAAAATACGTATTTTCTTTTACAAATTACACCGTTAGAAAGATGTCGTCGATATCATCAAAACGAGACCAATATTGAATATTTCTAAAGTTAATTATATTTTTAATGTTAATATAAATAAAAAATAATATATGTTTAACGTTAATTATATGTGTATATGATAAATGTAATATTTAATTTCTATTAAATACACATCCGCCTCATGTTTGTCATTGATTTCTTGAATTATTCTAATAAAACTTATATTTAATCGACTAAAAAATACAATAAAAAACTGAGTCCATGTAATGATCTTATATCCACTTTTAAGTTTTATTTATTACGATAATTATTTTTGTATATATTTGTCAGTAACAAATTTATTGTTTTCAATAAAACCATAAATTTAAATTAATTTTTAATTTTATGTTATGGTAGTTGTGCAACCACTTCAAATTTTTTTGGCTCTGTTTTCAGAGACGTGCCGTATAAAAGGGAGGAGGAGGTGCAAATCTGCTAGGGGGTGTTGCAGAGACGATGTTCTAGTTGTGTGGTGGTCTCGATCGCAGGGGCGAGGAGATGGCAAATAGATGGTTAAAGGAGGAAGAAACAAAAGAAAAACCGGAGTAGGACAGAAGAGAAAGGCAACAAGATAGGGGAAGGGACGTCAAAGGACAAAATGTCCCTCACTTATCGGAAATCTTATGCATATTAGACACAAACAACAATGGAATAACAATTTTTTTAAAATTAATTCAAAATGGAGAATAATTTTAAAAATCGTAAAAAGAATTACATTTATCTTCTACAGATTTTCTATTTCAAAGACAAAAACATTAATTATATTATTACAATAATTGTAAATGTAATAAAAAATTATTTCTCTTACATAAACATTTAATATCAAAGTTCCGTAACACCAAAATCAATAAAACTGGTGTAAAATTTGATGTAAACAATAAATCTTCTCCAATGGATAATACCAAACATTACACATAAAATATAAGAATCTAGGTATATTTATTTTTTATTTTTTTTATTAACCTGGATATCCAACCCGCTATGCGAGTTGACTAATCTCAAGACGACCACCTGCTTTGCAGATAGCCCGGAGTCGGTATATTTATTTTAATCTTCTCCGATTGATGTAAATGAATCAAATTTGGTGTCCCCGTTTGGATGGTTGTGGAAAGTAGAGGGGTAAAATTTAAAATTTGTGCAGAAAATGTTTGCATCAGCACCAATTCCATGGTGCTCTCTAATAACCAAAACCGTAAAGGCAAGGAGAATTGAATCTAGCATCAATCAAACTGTCCCTAGCTCCTTTGGAGAATTGCATTGTTGATGCCTTTTATTCTCAAGCCTACAACATCAACTGAACCACAAATTTATGATCAACGTACCAACGTTTGTGTATTTGCTGCACCATGTCTTGTTCATGGATCGAGCACGTTTACTCTTGTAAGAAATTGTCTAATCGAGTGGATTACAGGAAGTGGATTCTCTATATGAACAGCATGCCCACAATTAGGAATCTCGACCATTGTATACGGATGTTTGGCTGAACCACCTTCTCTCGTGCCAAGTTTTGACCACATACTCTCGCCAATCGTCTTAAATTTCTTGTCTTTCTCACCAACTATAAGCAGAAGAGGAGATTTGTTGTGCTTCAGCTCTTCCCACAAGGACCTATCACAACAAGCAGAACTTTTTTAATTCTGAAGAAATTACCATGTTTTTGTTGGAGAGATTTATTTGATTAATAGAAACATACGGTTGTCTTCCAATACTAAGGTCAGACAGAGATTTTGCAAGAGCCTGCACATCATTATGTTTCAAGCGGCTAGCAACTATGCGGTCAAACTGTGGATGGCTTCTTAAGCTGTATGATGCATAAATCACAATCACAATTTCAGATAGATGTATATTTGCAGGGGAGGTTCAAATGAAAACGGTAAATATTTTTGAGAATTGAGAACCAACTATTCACGATGATTGAATGTCTGTCTATTCACAATGAAAATACATCATATTCATATGCACGATATTCATGATGAATACTATCATTGATTATTTAAAGTTATTCATCCGTGGCAGGGAGGTAGCCACAATCCTTGCACGCCATGGCGAGGACGTGGAGTTTTTCAAAGCATGGCATAATACGACAACTTTGTATGTCATATATAGAATTATATACATGTACATATGTTTTCTATATATCATTAATCAAATAATGATATTAAAAAATTACATTCATATTAGAAGAACAAAAATCATGTATATTATTATTATAAAAATAGATGTTGATTAAATATTCAACATAGAACTTAGAAGGATTAGATAATTCTATAAAAGTGTAAAATCTAAAGTTAAAAGTGTAAAAACACAAAAGCGAAAAGAATTTAAAACTTTTTTTTTTGAAAAGTCACGCCTTGTAAAAATCGCACGCCATGGCTTACAGAAACGCGGTAGGCCTTATCGTAACCGTGGAAACGCGTCTTACAGCCATATCACACCATGGCGCGCCTTTTGGAACACGGATCATGAATAATAACATGAAATATTTGGTTCTCAGGTTCTCAAAATATTTATGGTTCTCATTTGAACTTTGCATATGGTAACGAAAGCAGCTCTAAATTTGTAGACAAACCTTCTCCATAGCTCTCCAGAATACCATGTCTTGATGAATAAATCCAGGCCATAGGAAAAAAGCGCACATGCTAAGAAATCGTCTTTAACACTGCGAACCTTTCTCTTTACCTCATCATCTAATCCAGGGCTTCCAGATATTATGACAACTCCTTTTACCTACAAAAAGAACAAGGGAAGGAAAAATCATCATGGAAAATCTATCACAAAATGTAATTCAGAGCACAGATATCTGTTTATGTACCATCATACTACATCTCAACGCCATGAACAAAGTGATCCTTGCTCCCATGGAGTACCCAACAACTGTGACTTTTCTAGTGGTTAGAAGAAGAATCAGCTTGTGTAGCATCTCTGCAACTACCTTTACTGACAGATCAACTCGATGTGCCACATCATTGCCAGCATGCATTTTTGAACCCCCATGACCAGGAAGGTCAAAAGCAATACATCTTGAAGATGCTGACATGGCCTTCATGATGGGAATCCAGTCTTCACTAGTCCCAAGGAAGCCATGAAGAAATACAACAACATTATTCTGCATCAACAAAAACCATTAAATTGTGTTTTTCACCATGCAACTACAAAACACGACTTCTTTTTATATTTGGCTAAAAATTAATTTCAGTTGTTTTAAAAAATAAACTGGTGATTCAAATAAAATAATAAAATATTTTCTTAGTTTTTATGATTAACCTGGATAACCAACTCGCTAATCCCAAAACGACCACCTACTTTGCGGGTAGCCCGGAGTGACCGCATTGGAAGCTCCATGGCCACAAGGGGATTTTTATTCCTCCTTGGATTTGAACCTGGGACCTCGAGCCACTTTTGACCTTTGGAGCCCAAGCTCAAACCAATCAGGCACCACCCTTGTGGTTTATTTTCTTAGTTTTTATGTTTGAGCATGAAGAGCATAAGCTACAAGAAAGGCAGAAACTTCCTTACATTTCTTTCCTCTCCGAGCTCTTGCACATTGATTGAAAATGCTACACCCTCCACATCCACCCTCAACTGATAATTCCGAACTTCCTCTGCTTTGAAACTTCGGATTACTGAGTTGTGATTAATATTGCAATTGTGCAATGTCTGACCAGCATAAAAAACAGATGCTTCCACAAAACCGTTGCATGCATTACGACTTATACGCAATGACTCGGTGATTATATCTTCTTTGAGCCATCGGTATGTTCCAAGACCATGGGCCACGGCTGCTGCAGGTTCCTTATTCATTGTTTTGCAAATATCTGCATTTTGCATTTCAAGATAGCAAGAAAATTGAATGTAAGCGGACAAAGCTAATCCAGTTTCAAACGCAGCACTGACAACAGCCATTTTCCCCTGCTGCTGTGCCCATCTTGCAATAAATGCAGCCTTTTCGAATCCGCCAACAAAGCTTGGTTTGATAACCTGGAAGGACGAGTTCATCCGAGTTAAAAGATCCATGTTGCACATTCCTTATAGAAGGATGGAGAACTATGCAACTGAACTTTCATGGATTAGAGTGCATTTGGTACGTGGGACAAAACAGGTTAAAACAAAAATTTACCGTCCCACGTTTGGCACGACAATAGACCCGGACAGAACATGGCTGAGTGGGAGAAAAATGAAGTTCTTTTGTTCCACGAAAACTAGGTGGAACAAAAATCAGGGACATGGGGCAAGATAGCTAAATTACTAAACAACCCATGTCCTATGATTAATTCACATCAAATGATGAGAATTCATTTCAAAAGTTTTGTGGAAGTGTTGTATATGTGATAAAAAAGAACACCTGTACCACTAAAGAGGGATAACAAAAGCAAGGAAACCATTTCTGATCGGATTTGTAACGAGTATGAATTTAAATTTTCCTTCTTTTGCGCAATGCTCTCTTCCGTGGTTACAATAGTATTCTACTGGAAATCAAGAGACTCTATTAAAATAAGAAGCATATAGAGACACATAAGAGCATAATGGAATTTGTTTTCTTCTTGAAGAGGTATGCTAACCTACAGATAGGGAACAGTTTTAAGGTGTTCATTACTTACAACAGCAACAACTCCATTGTGTGAGAATCTAGCAAGTATTTCAAGAGGATTTTCTTGGAGATTGTCAATGGTTTCATCCAGGGCCACAGGTAAGCCACTTTCTTCACAAAACTTAATTATATCATCTTCATCATTTACAGGTTCCTGAAATTTGGCAAGTTGATAGACCGAGTAAGTAGAGGGTGATAATAAACACACGCATCATTAAATATATACACAGTTACATACACATAGTACATACACATACATATGTGCACATACATACACACATATGGTGTATAGTTCAAGGAATGTACTAATAATTTTTATTTAAAAAATACACATCTATTTTGAAAAAAGTGAAGACACGCCATCATGAACGAATAGGAACGGAGAACTGCTTATAGAACAACTTCACAGTTGCTATAGAGGATACCTCAATATACTGCAGTGCACAGTCTTTCACATGGGAGCCAAACCGAAGAGCTTCATCAAAGGACCATTTTCGGTTTGCATCAACACGAAGTTGAATATGGAAACCAACCTTCTTCCTTATTTCTTGAACAACTGCAGCATCTTCAACAGGATTGGCTCTACGTGCCACCTGTGAGGATAGCTATTATGACAACCATTTACTAATATGGCCTCATAACAGTAGAATCAACAAAACTTTTTGCTTACTTTTAGTTTGATTGCAGTAAAACCCTCCTCAACGAGTGTATCTGCAAGATAAGCAACTTCTGCAGGAGTTCCATCAGAGTCAATAAGGGCACATATCTTAATATGTGATGACCTTCCAGCATATTCTTCTTTAGCAGCAAGTGGATGAAGCATGTTTAACATAGTGGAACCTTCTGCTGCAGCTATAGCATTGAGAATTGCCATCTCCAAACCACATCGAACACTGGGAAGAAGTGAACCTGGCTATATGTCATGCAAATAAAACCATTCAAAATTTTAACAAACTAAAAATGTAGTTTTCCAAGGAAATTAACCAAAACATCCCTAATTCCTTATTCCGATTATTGCTCTTTAGCTGTTATCAGTACCACAAATACAAGATGAAAATTCTTGTACATACTGGTATTCCTAAGTTGGTCCATATCCAAGAAGAGAACGATCCTCTTAGAAGAGGAAGGGATGAATTCAAGACAGCTCCTCCCATGACATGAGTAAGAAATTGAAGTTGCTCCTCTGCATCTAGCAAATTTTCCTTGTGAATCCCAATAGGTGCTACCTGTGCACAATAACTACTGAGAAATAACCTTACAAATAAAAACAGAAGTAATATAGCAGACTTGCATTTGTATTCAGTATTTACCATATTAGTCTTCATCTAGGTAGCGGATAACTTTAAAATCTATATACGTAAATGAATATGTAAGTCCTTCACTTGGTTGGCTTGGAGAAACACATATTACGAAAACCATTATTTTGAGGTATGTACATGATCTTTGGGAATTACATCTTGCGACTTCTCCCTGAAGCTCTCCCTCTGGCTTAATATTGTCAAAGGAGTTGATCAGTTTATGGAACTAGTTTGTTCTCCTGCTTACTTGCTCATCTCAACTAATACTTAGGAGTTGGGGTCGATCTTGGCATTTTATAGGCCCAGGGCATTGTAAAAAAGAGAGCTTTCAATAAGTATGATAACAATCTTAACATTGTGTTCTCAAGTTTGGGAAGGAAAGAGAAGAAAAGGGAAGTCAAAGAAAAGAAAAGAAAGAAAATTTTTATCCGTGTTCATGAGAGTGAAGGGAAAGGAAGGAAAGAAAATAAATTTTCATGTTCTTAAACAGGAGAAAGGAATGGGAAGATGTGATTTTTACGAATATACCCTTATTTATTTTTATAGTGGAATGTAATTGATTGGTAGATGTGTAACTTTATAAATATTTTTTATTATTATGAATTCTTTCCTTTCCTTCCCTTACCTCCCACATTTAGGAGGAAAGATTTTGGAGGAAAACCAACAATATTTTCCTTGTCCTTTCCTTTCCCTCGTTTAAAAACTCGGGAACACAATTTTTTTTCTTTCCACCCTACTTTCCTTCCCTTTCCCTCCTTTCCTTCATAAAAACAGACTCGGGAACACAGCGTGAACGAATGCTTTTCATCATCAAGAGTAAACTTCAGTACAAAAATACTAATACTAATTATTTACTCATTGAAACCAACAAATGATTTCTAGCAGATGCAGTAGAACATATGGTTTGCAGACAGCACATATATATAGCAGATAGCAAATGTATATGAACATACTGCATCAACCACCATCAGCATATAGCATATTCGATATTGCATTAGTATGAATGTATTACATATTGATATTGCATTCATATATTTCAACGCATAACATATTGCATTGGTATGAACATATGATTCATGAGCCAACATATGACATATGTCGACATATAGCATATGATAATTCTTATACTCCATTTTTAATACATCAGCAACCACACATAGGTATGGGTATGCATAGACGGAGGTGTTAGTAAATATATATCGACATGTTAATAGCAAATGCAAGGGATACTCTGTAGTAACCTGTTACATACTCTGAGACATTGATCAGTCTATACTTACATTCTAAGATCAAAATAGAAGCTTGTGTAAAGACCAATATACCCTAGGTGTTAAGAGCTTTTTTTTTCTCTATGCAAGCTTAGACAATCAATTCCCCAACCCACCCTTCTCGTTTAATTAGAAATGGATACCTGTGGACTACCCCATAAATGGGATTTTTTCATCTTTTAGACTCAAAAATTTCACGAAGAAAGGTCATGGCTGGTGGTTGACAAGTGCAGTACTGGTATAGTCCTACACAACCAAACAGATAGCTGAAAAACAAGCAACAATTTGCTAACCAAGTGCCTGGTCCATGAAACAAATGAAATAACCTCTATAAAACTATTCATGAAAACACCAACAAGAAATAGCCATTAAGAATCTTAGTTGAATTTTACACCCAAATTACATTAGAAACACAAAATAAGAGACATGTTTTATATTTAGCACCAAAAGATCAAGTGATGACAAGAGAAGGATATATATCCCAACTGAGCAATAATTACCATTTACTATTAGGACTGTAATTGTTCCAAGAAAGAGGAAGACCGCCACATTAGTCCATTCTTTGATGTATTATAGTCAAGATGAAGTTCATTGTTTCTACTTCCAAAAAGTAGGCAAGTTTCTAGTGATATCGTGAAAACTGATATTAAGAAAGAAGAAGTAAATAGATGGATGTTTTCTTAGAGATGACATTTAGGTACCACTCCACACATCCATCATTATATGAACCATCGTTGAAATGCACAGTTCAAAGCAAAGAACAAATCACAATCATACCATGCTGCAACAACACAAATAAGGTGAAAGACGAGATAAATTTACCTCCCCAATTCCAGTGCTTCCATCTTCAAGATACAAGGTTAGCACAAAGCCTTCTCTGCAATGTGTGGAATGGTCATTACTAACAGAGGTTGTAGTTGGTGGAGCGCAGAGCTGAATTCTGTCATAATAATAATTTGTACAGCTTATTATAAATCATAATAGAATGGTAACAACTTGCAGATCTTCAAAAACCCTTTGTACTAAAAAAGAAGTCAAGAGCCGACCTGTACTGAAAATACTCCAATTTACGAACTTTAATTGGCATAGAACCATCTGAGGAAGAATTGAGAACCGAGTGCTGTGAAATGGTGGATAAAGCATGACCTGCTGCTTGACATGCAAATTGTTTCAAATTACTGGGAAGGGAAAGAGATGGAGTCAGCAGCAGATATAGATGAGTATATCGAACATCGTCAAAACAACAAAAGCGAGGCTGTTGCAACCTGTGGAAGTTTGCATTGGCATCAATGGAACTTTCAACTTCTATCACACAGTCTTCTTCTTCCTGTTCAGATCTTATTAGAGCATTTTGCAGCTCAACTTTTGTGTGGACTTGTACATGCTTCACACTTCACAATAGTCATTTAGGTATCATGTTAGCAATCAGAAAATGACTAAATTATGACAAATTAGCAGCAGACTCCTACAAATACTGATGATTACAACTTTAGACATAATACTATTTAATGTCATTAGTCAAATGTTCAGACTCAGTCTTCTGCAGATCGATATATCGCTGTGTAGTTGATCCTACATCAGCACTTTCCCTAGTTTTGTGTTACTTTTCTGTTCATTCCCTGTTCCCCCCCCGTTTCTATCTTTTATGTTCTTGTGTTCTACTGGAGCTAAGTTGTGAGTTTGAAATTGTATAGTGATTTAATATGCTAGAGAACTGATTACCAGATTACTGGAGCAACAAGCAGCCGCAATTCGGCAGCAACAAGCAGTGGTTGAATAACTCCAACATGCACCTTACAAGTGATGGGGAACTAAGAGGAGATCCTAAGAGATATCATATGTTAGTTGGAAAGTTGAATTATCTTCTGGTGACACATCCTGATATTGAATACTCAGTCAGCGTAGTCAATTAGTTTATGTCATCTCCGATCATTCATCATTCGGCAAGATTAAAGCAAACTCCTTTTTTTGTTTTTTTGGTTAACCGTGGGTTTCCGGGCCAGCTTACGTGCACCCAGATGAAAGAAAACTTTGTGTTACTTGAAAGGAGCACCAGATGTGGCTTTGTGTATGCAAATCATGGACACAAGCATACTGAATGTTTTCAGATGCAGATTGGGCAGGTTCCAAAATGGATAGAAGATCCACTTCAAGATATTGTATAATTGTTGGAGGGAATGTCTAATGGAGAGATAAGAAGGCAAAATGTTCTCATGATCTAGAATAGAGTACTAGGAAGATGAGTTTATTACTGCTGATTCAAGAAATACGACAATATTTTCCAGATATATTATCATCATTGACATTTTATAGGGCATAGCAAATGCAGTGGTTTCCCATTTCAAGCATATTATCGAAGCATTGTGTATTAAATGTTCTTAGTTTTCTGACAATGGTATGGCTAATTTCCGAGTCTTATCGAAAAGCATCTCATGATATATATATGCAAATCATATGTCTATAATTGCCACAGGGCCAATGAACATGTGAAAATTTTCATATATATATATATACATATATCTAATTACTAACAGGAACTTGTATAATTTATAAGATCGCAAGCCAACAAATGTTGAGAGATAATAGGGGGGTAGGAGTCTTACCCATGTGCAACACATAGGTTCTGAATTCCGACATTGTGAGATGTGTAGAAATATTGATTCAATATTTCTTCTTCAGCTCTATTTGCAATGGGTAGAAGACTGAAAATTGCACCACCATGGTTGTTGTTCACAAGTATGGTCATCTTTTTCCGTAAGATCCTTCAAGAACAGAACAGGCATTTGAGATCTTAGAAAATGGATGAGCTATGTGGGACCCTCTGTTATCCCAATATATGCAACATTGATAGTCAAGTGAATCACATGATCAGGAAACTGGAAATATCCTATAAGGGTCATAAATTCTCGTTGATTCATACAAGTGAAATAGAAATAAATAACCCATGACAAGAACATAGTTGTTTTATGTGTAAAACAAATACATTATACATTCACATAAGCTTATGGTAACCATCAGTTTTTTCATGGAACCTATTTTGTTACATAAAACATGCAACAAAACGTGACACTAGGCAAAAGGAACAAAATAAGTTGCATCTGAAGAATGGTTCAGAAAATATTCTCCACATACCCTTGCAAACTCTCAACTAAATCAAAAAGATTCTCAATACTAACCTAAGAGACCCTCGTACACTTTGTATCTTGATCTAGCCTCAAACCTTATAGAGGACAAAAACTAAATTTTCTGATTCAAACACACAAAATTTTCTATCAATAATCCACGGATCATAGATGCCCACCATTAAGAAAATCTAGCCTCACTACTGTAGGCCTCAAAAATAAACAGAAATGAAATTTGACATATATAGGATTTTACCTCTGTTTCAGAAGTGCCAATCCATTGGTATCATGCAATAGGGAGACATCTCCAATCACACAAACCACCTGAATTCAAAATGGGGAAAAATTAAATAACAAAGGAAAAAGCAGTTATAAACACTGTTACTTTTTAACTTCAGAAATCATTCAGAAGCAACAAAAACATACAAACACCAAAAACATGACCGGAAATTAGTATCGAAACTATTTTAATATTTTCAGATTCTCACTCTTTTTTTGTGGCCCACAGCAAAACCAATGGCAGTGCTGAGTAAACCATCAATACCACTGGCTCCTCGGTTCCCAGCCACTTGTATCCAGCGGAATGGAAATCCTGAAGTTAATGAGGTATCGCCACCTGCACGTGCTCCTAGGCTACTCCCATACATGTCTGCATCTCGTATTGGCATGCTATTTCCTATGAACATCGTAGATCCATAGTCAAGAGCATCTGAAGTTATGTATGCAACATATGGCTCACTCAAGGAGTTCTCTGAATGTATTAGAAATGACATCTCCCACTCAACCTACAAACATGAAAACACAAGATAGTCCAAAAAACATGGAGATAGAAATGACATCTCCCACTGAACCTACGAAAATGAAACCACGAGATAGTCCCAAAACACATGGAGGGCCACAAGTAGAGCTGCAAATCTCATGATCCAAGCAACAAGAATTATGGAATAATTTTTTTGATTTCAGGTACAGGACAAAAGGGATCAGAAAATGAATGCAGATTAATCCCAAATAATAATATGTTTCTCAATAAGCCACCACTTTAGGTGATTCGCCACCTATAAACAATATTATGAAACTAAACTAGATGACAACATCCAACTAGATGCATTGACTATAGAGGGTATCAAGATGTTCAAGATTATAAAGTTCTCTTATTTGCAAGATTTATGGTGGCAATGAAATGAAAATGGCACAGAAAACACCCACGAACACATAAGAGACGTAGTTGAACATGAAGGAAAGCGTTCTTCCGGTTATGCAAGGGCAGATACCTCATCAAATAGTATTTTTCCATGTAATATAAATGCCATTATATTAGATTCTTCAAGAACATGTACTAGAAATATGCTCTTCTCTAACAAAACCCTTTTAAATAGCTTCATGCTATGCATATGAAGTGCTAAATTTTGTTATACTCACTCGACATGCTTTAGATGATTTGTACATAACTTGTGAACTCACTTCCAACACATGTACGTTGGGTGTCAAACTCTCGTTAACATTTGTTGCAACATGCAGGCGAGTTGCCTGAGACTTGGGTAGTCGCATACCCTACTCTATGTAACTTGTAAGCGACTTTGAAGTCGTGTCACATAAACCAGGTAACCTGCAAGCGACTTGCCAAGTAATCCAGAAGTTGCATTCGTGCACCAGACTGGAGACAGCATAAATCACATCTGGGGCTCAATGGCTCATTTGTTTCCTTAGAACACACACATCTCAAATATCTTTCCATTTGTCTCCTCTGTCTAGTTCGAAGTGATAGGTTATTTGCGTTTTATGAGCATTTGTTGGGTCTCGACTTTTGGTGTGGGCAATAGCAGAGCATTCATTGGCGATGGTCTGAAGGTTTCTTGGGGCTCCGTTGTCATGTTGAAGGGTTGAAGTCTCTGAACCACACTCTACTTTGTGCAACTTGTATGCGACTTTGCAGTCTTGTGCATTGCATACAATAATTTATTGGGCAAACAATAATTTCTCCCCAACATGAAGTGTTCTATGAGTTTACTAATTACTAATCAATTCATTTCAGGGTATTACACGATCATAGACATGTCCAATCTCCTATTCTCAGAACTCCAATGATTTTATGAAGATTCAACTTGAAATGGAATGCCTAATTCTATATACATCATGGATTCAGTCTTCTAGGCATTTGTGCCTGTAGCCAAGTCTAGGCAATTAAGCATGTATCCAAGTTTTTGGAAAATTAACTGTCCTCATACTGAACAACTAATGATGACCTAAGTAGCAAAAGCGACAATACTAAGCAACTTCGTCTTTCCTTTTTGAGCTCAACATCCAAAAAGATAAATATACATTTATCAGGTATATATATATATATATATATATATATATATATATATATTAACTTGGGTAACTACCATCAATACCAAAGCAGAAGATTGAAAATGAATTTGACATGCCATGCCCCTAGAAAACTCCCATTCATGTGCAATACAATCATGCTGACACATACAGTTACCACAAAACCATATAAAAGACCATCATATCACGCATTAAATATTATTGTATAAATAACTGACTTATCTTAATGCTAGTTTAGTCAAGCCATCCAAGCCAAATTGCAAAACCTCTTAGCCAAGTTTGGGGTGATTGAATGCTAACTGAATAGGGAATTGTCCTAATCAAAATCTAATCATGTTAACACGGTGCACAAGAAATCCCTAATCACAAATACGTTATCATAGTGGTTACTGTATCTTTTTTTTTTTTTTTTGGGGGGGGGTGGGAATTCATGGCTCCTATCCAGAATTAGCATGCATATGATTGTCACCTTGTGTACTAAGCAGCTAAGCCTTTGAAAGTATCTACAATAATGTTTGCTAACATGGGCATGGAGAGGAAAATAACAAATAAACTTAGAATTGAAGATCGTACAAAAGCATCAAACCCAAATAAAAAAAAGAATAGATACCATCATGTTTATTGAACACAGGAAACTGGTCCATTTGGGGTTGATGTGGGTTGTGCAAAATCTCAGCACACAATCAGTAAACTCAGTAATAGGACTTTGAATCCTATGTGTTATTATATGTGAGGGATCATGACGACTAGGATGGTTATCAACCAATATATATGAGCATGGAAAGCAATCTTCTAGCATCTGTGAAACGCGTTTGCTTGTTATCCGGCTTCCAATCTGTAATCAAAAGTATAAAGCCATCAAAAGACCAACATATTAAGTTGACCAGTATATTTATTAAGATAAGCACAAATCAGACCTTAGCAGTCTGATCTCAGTCACCAAAATATATGCTGGTAAAATTTTACTAATAACTTTCATAGAATAAATAGATAAAGCCAAAGTACACCTGAACGATAACATCTGGCTTTATCCACTGTCTGACTTCAGCACAAAGTAGAGAATGATCCAGATGGTCAACAAAAAGAATAGCTTCATTAAGTTTGGAAAGAGAACTCGTATACTTTCTCAACCGTAAACCTGACAAAATATCAGCTACAACCGGCCAGCGAAGGTGTTTAGCCAAGAATAGAGCTGCCCATATGTCATCCTCCGTAAAAATTGCACCAATTAGTAATAGACCACATTTTGCCCCCTGAATTATACCCAAGACATCTGCTACATCACCATGATGATTGTTATGTGCAAAAGAGTTATGAGCTTTAATATAGTTTGTAAATGGTTCACCACTTGATACCCAATATTCTAATCCTTTCAAACAACTCTGACTCCAACTTTTTGGTGTACTTTCTAGTGGTTCCCTAAAAGGACAGTTGATATGAACAGGACCACAGGGTGAAGAAGTTGCATGATGTACAGCAGAGTCAAAGGTTGTAAGAACCATCCTGGCAGAGATATTGTCCATGGGTGCAGGAAGATTGAAGAAGTGCCTCACAAATGAACCAAAATGGTTAACCTAGCCAAAAAAGTAACCCAGTAAGAAGGTAAATGACTTAAAATATGAAATAAATAAATGACATCTGCTATGTAATCTGGACCAAATTAGTAATCAAATTGCAGAAGACCAAATAAAATTTCAGAAATTCTATTTTCTCAACAGCAAAATCAAGAAGTGAACAGTGACTGAATTCATTTCTCGTTACTACTTGCACTAACACAAGCCACTTGACTTTTATTTATAACTAATAACTAACCAACAAAGAAAATGCTAACTACAAAAGTGAAAGTACAATATTACCCTTTAAACTTGGATTCAAGTCACTTATAAACAACACCAATGATCAGCATTCTAATCTCAGACAGTAAGATAAGTTTCAGAAATCCAATAATCAAAAACAGTTGCAAAAGGTAAGTAGAAATCAGAAGAGAAATTCCGTTGTTGTTTGTGCTGAATAATCCGAGAAACATAAATAAGAAAATAAAGCAATAATTGAACAAATAGCTATGCTGAGTGTCTGCTTATCAAAGATGGCAAATCCTTAAAGTGGATGTTTTTCCAATTTTTCCGTATGAAATAGCAGAACTAGCAACTGTAGTACAACACTAACAATCAACTTACTTGATTGATTGCTTGGTTGGCTCCAGCATCCAGTAGCTCAGGGGGGCGATCTGCTGTGAGTAATAGAAGAGGCAAAAAATCTTGATAAGCTTCCACTACCTGCAAATTATGAAGTGTACAAGATTATGGAAAAAGGACTGGTATGGGAAAAAGGAAGTGTACACGATTATGAAGTTCATGTTGCTAGACTCACAGTTAATGAGTCTATTTTATTTGTTATCTTGATTTCTAGAATAAGCCGTGTTCGGTTGTCATTAGCCATCAATTACCATACTTTGTTGTTATCGTTTCTAGGATTTCCGCCACGATTAGTTTCTTATGCTACTATATAGTTTTTTTTTTTTTTTTTTTTTTTGTAAGTGTGTCCGGGCCAAAGCCCGACTAATCCCCGGCAATTTTTGGAGGCTAAGCATGGCCCCACTTTAAATGTCGCCAACACTCCCCTCCCAGGGCTCGAACTCGGGTTCATGACTATGCCATGCCCAAGCCTTTACCACTAGGCTGGAAGGTCTTTGACTGCTACTATATAGTTTGTAATCAATAAGTACACAAATTACCATATAAACTGATAATTCAGATATATGAAGCATACAACTATCATTTGATACACTTACAGCAGGTAGAAGATTTGAAACTGCAGTGCCTGATGAGGTTATAACCACAGCTGGTTTACGGGAACCTCTAGCATAACCAATAGCATGGAATGCAAGCGACCGCTCATCAAAGCATGCGATACAACTTGTCATAGGATGACAAGAAGCAGCAATGGCTAATGGAGAGGAGCGAGACCCTGGAGCTATACAAAAATACTACATGAAAATTAAGTTAGATTTTAACACCTTGATGAAGAAGCAAATACAATTTTTTACCATCTCACCGTCAAACCAAGTCGATAGCATTCTTCAACTATAAGTGATGCCCACAAGGTATTGATGTTTGAAGATTCTTCCAAAGAACAACTTATATCACGGAACTGATCCAGCTGTTTTGGGCAGAAATAAGGATTTTATACAAGGAAAAAAAGATGTAATATGCACAATTCTAACATTGGAAAAAGATTGTCAAAAACCTATTTAGATGCAGAAAGAGATAAGTGACTGACAGTAACTACTTGTTTTCTGAAAGCAAACATAAAAAATGCATATATGATGCTTAAATTAACCATTTAAATGTTGCATCAGGCAACAAAAAATTAATTCATCCTCCATTTGATGCATTCCGCACTTTATTCAACTTGTATTTGTCTTTGAAATGTAACCAGTTACTCAAACTGGCAAGCGGATATAAGATCAGAAAAATTATGCACCAGAATATATCAATCGACTCCATTACAAACTAAGGTCTTTCATGGCATATTAAACCCATAATCACCATACCATGTTATTGGAGATAGCGACAGTAGCTGAAAGTCTGAGGGAGAACTGATGGAATAATGAAGCATCTTCCTACAGGATAAGTGAGCTGTTAAGACGTAGCTAAATTTGCACATGAGATTAGAACAACACCAAGCAACATTGAAGTCAAATAATTACCAGGAATCAGGATAAAAGAGATACCAGTTCCATGTGCTCAAGGCAACCATCCCTCAGCAGAAGAGCATCTGTAGATACCTACAAGACCAGTGCCATCAAATGCATGACTAACATTAGCTCCTATTCAACTTGCTAGAGTGAAGAAATTTTCCCAGAAAACTAAAGCTGTTTTAAGCTCATTTAGCACACAAGTTGAGACCAAGTGCGTTTTATTAGTTTGAATAACGAATGCATGACTTCACTATATGCTGCAGATTATTCAGAAGTCCAAGTCATCTCAACACAAATTTTTTAGAGCTGATCTACATTCTCAATGATTATCTTCATTACATACCTAGAAAACATTTGTGATGAACATTAACTTGCCACCAAGTTTATAAGGATTGTGGCTTAGTGGTTGAGGTCCTGGGGGATGTGGTGAAAACATTTGTGATGAACATTAGCTTGCCACCGATTCCAAGCGTACACAACAATTGTGGCCACTGAGTTTATCAGGGCTGATTTCTTGCAGTCTCAGTTTGCCAGGATTAATCCAGGCATAGCCTGGGACACCCTTCCAAAAAAACATTCACTTGCCATTATGGGTTGTCAATTTCGGGTGCTAAAAGAGCTTAAAACAGCTTTAGTTTTTCTGGGAAAATGTCTTCACTCCAATGCATTGTATTGGAGCTAACTTAAGTAGTTTTCTTATTCTATGAACTTCTCTCATTTAATGTACCATTTTTGCATGTTTATCCCCCACCATGTTGAACCTTTTTAGAACAGCACTAACGCATTTGTTCAAGCATTCCTCTGCAATGGGCCTTGTAAGGGCTGTCCTAGAATAAAATTTTGTAAAAGATGACAAGTGTTCATATGAAATAAACAATCGAATCCTAGACTATGAGTGTAATTATTAAAACTAGTAATCTCTACAAACATTTAAACATCAAATCCTCACATTCATAAGTCTATAGCATTAACCTCAAGGTGGTGACCGATTGGTTTAAGCTCGGGCTGCAAAGTTCAAAAGTGCCTGGAGGTCCCAGGTTCAAATCCAAGGAGGAATAAAAAATCCCCTTGTGGCCATGGAGGTTCAAATGCGGTGACTCCGGGATACCCGCTGGTCGCCCTGGGATTAGTCGACTCGCATAGCGGGTTGGATATCCAGGTTAATTTAAAAAAAAAGTCTATAGCATAATACCAAGTGTCATAAAAGAGAAGAAGAAAAGAGATCATGGGATTGGAAGAGTCTTTTTTATAATATATAGCATGTACACTAGGGGAGAGAAAAAAACACATACAAGATTCTCTTGCTCTCTTTCATAGGGTAACATATGATATTTTTCCAACTTTTTTAGGTCAACTGTAAGTCCAATATTAGGTATTATAACCCCCTGAGTAAACTATTGCAGACGCAATTTTGCATGCATCATATTGTTTAAGAAACAAAACCTTGGAACTTAAATATCTTATGAAGAGTAAAAAGAGTTGACATGGTAAATGAAATTATTCCAGCCAATATGATAACAAAAGTGCTATCAGTCTAGAAGGAAATGCAATTGATCAAAGGAAGGTTGTTTCAGTCAGCAAGATTGTACATACCCATTTATATCTCTACTCAGTCCTCAAAATAAATGCCGAGTATAAGGGAATCTTGAAAAGGGGAAAACAACAAGGAAATGAATGAACTTAGATGGAGGTCGACATCAACAATTCAGTGCCATTATTGTTTGACTATAGGATGGACATAGTTTTAGAGCATTATTATCCTTTGATGTCGAAGCATATTTCAAATTAATGAGTGACCCTTATAACTAGCTTAAGATTGTTGCAAAACTGTAAGTAAATTTCAATGCATTCCAATATCTGATACAAAGAGGAAAAAATCAAACATTGGAGAGTAGAGACAATAGCCTCAGAATACCTGTTGTGAGATGGATAATAACATCAAAAGCATCTTCATATAAACAAAAGGAAGAGTCATCCCACGCTAGTGTTGCAGTTAATATGGATAGACCATCAGACTCGACTAGTTCTATCTGCAAACAATTTAAAAGTGTGAATGTATTACATACAATTTTACAGGAAACGATTTCTGATCGCTTTTAGATAAAACAGAAGCTGCAAATATCAAGCCTGTTCAAGGTATGTAGATATTGTGGGTGTTTATTGAATCATTGAGAACAAAGGTGGAAGTAAGTACAGTATAAAGCTTACCAGGGGAATGAACATGTCAAATGATCTATTCTCAAACTTGTCAGAAGTGTGGCCAAATAAACCATAAGCCATGAGATGTGCTGAATCAATGGACTGATATCTGCTAAGTGTGAAATTACCACTACAAAATTAGTATCACATAATATGTAATTGTCCCAGAAGCATCTTGAAATACAGAACGGTGAAAGCAACCATACAGGATCACTTAATACATACATATCCTTAAGTAGCACTTACTAAAGTTTCTGCACATTGTGTGATGATTCATATATATTGCCATTAAACAAGCATTTCAGCATATTGAGCATGAAAATGTAGCTTTTATACGGTGTAATAAGAAATATCATGTAACGGTAGAAGCCATAAGATCATGCTGAGCCTTTGCATCAGATGGTAAATTGATCTATCTTGCTTGACTTATATCCTAAAATGGAAATAGCACAATATCCTTGGAACAGCCCAAAAGGAAAGTTGCTACAAATGATTAGTAAAGAATGGAATGGTTAGATTCTGCAAGATACATTCAACAAATAATTTCCTGAGACCTTTAAATACAAAAACCACTAATATCAACAGAACGGAAATTACAAACATGGAATGAAACACATTAACCTTCTGAAAGGGATCTGCTCTGTTGAGGCAGAGCAGAAAGGACTCTTAATGTAAACTGCAGCACCAATTCCAAAAGTTCCACGAGTTCTACTAAATGACAGATACTTGGTCGTTGGCTTCTCAACACCCGTAGAAACAAAAAACTGAGGAAATACTCCTAGTGATGGATCTTGACTGCAAAACCAACTCAAAGCTCTTGAACCAGGAGATACAGCAATCTGCACATGGGATCAAACAAAAGGAGAAGATAACTTAATGCACCTGTTACACTACTCATATAGGACAGGTATGGTATCAAATTGTAAGATATATTTTAATTTTTGTACCATGAAGAGGAGTTCCTATTCTACTTTTACTATGTCAATCTGTCAGCCCTTTACCACCATGGCACCACCTCTAAGAACTTTTGAACATTTTATTTGAAAACACGGATGGTCCAGAAGATGTATCTTATAATAAACCGGGGCAATAATATTCGTTTCTTGATAAATTTAGTGGAAGTAGCATGACTTGCGCAATAGTCTAAACATTAAAACATCTCTAGTTATAAGAAATGCACTTCTTTTGCACAAATGTATTAGAACAATTTACTCGAATCAATTTAAAAAGAAAACCTGAAATCTGTAGATTCCAGCTTTAGAACAACGAGGTTTCAACTTCAATTCCTCAACGGCATCTTTAATATTTTCGAGCCCCAAATCCAGAGTCAATGCTGGAGGCAATGTACGCGTAATACAGGTAGCCATCAGGAGTTCCGCTTTGTCTGCTTCCAAGAACTTGATTTCTTTTTCTTGGATCGAATTTCGAACAATCTATACAAAGAGAAGCAGACATTAACAAAATCAAAGGCATTAAAAAGAGAAACAAGAAACAAAACAAGAAACAAAACAAGAAAATGCATAATTTAGACCTTGAAATTGGGACCATAATGACGCCGACCAAGGAATGTGAAACGGCGATGGGATGAGGGCATGGTGACGATGGTTTTACAAGACAGAAGAGTGATGGTTTGGGATTGTAGGATTGAAGAGGGAGAAGAACGTAGGTCGTTGAGATTCATGATGATTACCGTTAGGCTTGGAGGATAAGAGCATCCACAATGCTAGCTTATTATAATCAAAAGGCGAGGATGTCTGAACTGTGAAGAAACAATTTTTTAATTTATAATTATTAATATTACACATAGATGCAGGATTGGTCTCTTATGGTAATCGGGGATGCTAAAATACTCGAGTGACTTATTAACCTAACGTGAAATAACTTAATTCGAAATAACTCGATGTTTAATTGAATTGTAAAAATTTTAAATTGTAGGTATTGGGTTAATGTTGGGTTACTATTATTTGAACTCAACCTAACCCGATGAACCTGATATCCATTTACTTTTTAAATTTAATATGATTGTTGAATTTTTATTAATATATAGACTAAACAGTTACATTATCACGTACGCTATTCATATACATATTTTTTCAATCTATTCACATCTCTATATAACTCATTCGTATATATGTTCAGTAACTGTAAACATATATATGTAAATTGAGAAAATTAACTGAATGTGATATACGTAAGGAGTATGGATAAGTTATATCAAATTATTAATGATGAAAAAGAAATTATGAGTAGATAAATAATATATTCAATGTTAGAAAAATATTTTAATGTACCAAAGTATCAATCCGACCAACCTGTACGGTTTGGGTTGGGTTGGGTTGGGTTGCACTTTCATTTGGGTTGGATTGAGTTAAGATTTTTCAAACCGCAAGCATTGAATTGGGTTGTTCAAATGTTTTCAACACGATCAACCCAACCCATGAGCACCCCTAATGGTAATAATGTTGAAGAACTTTCCTTATGTCAATTTGAAAATAGCACCGAAGATAGTACCAACGTACACCAGATTAATTATTATATCAAGTGTACTTCATTGGGGGTGGAGATGAGATAAAAAGTGATCAAGAGTCTAGATCCCTTGTTATGCTTCTAACCTTAACTCTTAGGGGTCGTTTACCAAATACTTACTCGATAAGTGTTTACCAATAAAATTTAACACTATTATTTACTTACCGTGTAAGATTTTAGTACACCAAAACGACATCGCATGCAACAATTTACCCGGTAAGTGTTTACCGTGGTAAGAGTCGTCATCCTCACTTACCGGATAAGACTCTTGGTTCTTGTCTCACTCTTACCGGGTAAGATTCTTGGTCCCTACCATATTCATCTGATGAGGTAATGTGACGTGGTAAGCGCTTACCCAGGTAATCACTTAGTCTCACACGATCCTTTGTCGTCCCCTCCCCACCACATATATATATATATATATATATATATATATATAGCGGTAATAAGAAACGTAAGAAGTGAATTGAACCATTGATCACTTTTAATCTCATGTTCACTCATGAATTGCGCTTTATAATGTAATTGATTTAGTGCATCTCGGTACACCTCATTAGTGTTGGCATTCAATTATGATTGATTCAAGTGTGAAGATCTCTTCCTACGCTTCTTACCATAAATTCACTTTTCACCGAACCCAACCCACATATATATACATGTACATATATATACATGTACATATATATATATATATATATATATATGCATATGTGTGTGTGTATGGTGAGAATAAAAGTCATAGTTAGATGGTACGAAATGATCTCCACCCTTAAACCAATCCTAATTGAAGATCAACGGTAATGAGATGTATCAGATCAATTCTCGTATCAAATGCAATTCATAGGAAGGGGTGAGACTAAAAGTGATCAAGATCATTTCTTACGTTTTTTTTACCTTAACTCCATCATTCATGTATATATAGGGCTGGATTTCGATGAGGATGAGAGTTAAGGTGAGAAGTATAAGAATGGATCTCCACCCTTAAATGCACATTAAGATTAGATGCACCAAGATGCATCTGATTAATCCTCATATCAAGTGCGATCAATGAGTAAGTTTGAGATTATAAGTGATCAAGGGTCCAAATAGTGCGATTAATGGGTGATTTTGAGATTAAAAGTGATCAATAGTCTAAATCTTTTCTTATGATTCTCACATTAACTTTCTTACTCACGTGATCAATAGTCTAAATCTTTTCTTATAAACATGTAAGCAAAAAGTTAAATTATGTAATGTATATATAAGTTAAATTAACACACACACACACACACACACATATATATATATATATATTTATTTATATATACAGTGATATATATATATACTATCTTATAAAATAAATTTAGTAAAAGTCTTAAAGTGTTAAAATACTAAATGACCAAAATACTCTTTATATATTTTTTTCACCCCCTCCTCTCCTCACATGCACTCACCCTCTCACAACGGATTTTTTTAAAATTATAATTTTAAATTTACATTTTATACCCCTATAATTAGTTAATTAATTTACTTTACGTCCTTTATTTTTAAATGTTTCATTTAAAACCTTTATCGAATTAATATACATAATCGTATATCAATTAAAATATGTTTTAAAAATACATTTTTATTTTAACAAGAAAGAGGGTAAATAGTTTTCTTAAATAGTTGAAATTTCATTCTAAAACTCATTTTTTTTGTCTTTTCATGGCTTATGATCTGTTAACTTTGTAGTTTTCTTTATTGGTTTTAAGTGTTTATCTTAAAACTCAAGTTTCTTGGTTCTTTG